AGAAAGTGTGTTAGGCCTAGAGAAGGTTGGAGATGTTCTAAGATGTTTTGGAAGGTTAGAGCATTCAGACTTGGAAGTAGAAGCACAGAAACCAATTATCCTACCGAAAGATCACGCCTACACAACAAAAACAATCGAAGAATGTCACGAAAGAGTGCTTCACGGCGGCGTGAGAGAAACGCTTGCAGAGCTAAGATCAAAGTTTTGGGTTCCGAAAGGCCGATAACACATGAAGAAGGTCATTAGTAAATGCATAGTCTGTAGAAAGTTAGAAGGGAAAGCTTATAGGACACCGTGCAGTGCAGGGTTACCAGAATTTCGAGTCACGGAAGTGCCAGCGTTTTCAAAGGTAGGAGTTGATTTCGCAGGGCCACTTTACGTCAAAGAGCGAACAACAAGAATGAAAGAGGTGTACATCGCGTTATTCTCATGTTGCGTGATGCGAGCTTGGAACTTGTAGAAGATTTGTCAACGGGGGCATTTATCCGGGCTTTGCAGCGATTTGCAGGGAGACGAGGGACACAAGTTTAATTATATCTGACAACACCAAAACCTTCAAAGCCACTGATAAAGCTCTCAAGAAGCTTTACAATCACCCAGAAGTCGCTAACGAATTGTCCGGCAAAATGATCAAATGGAAGTTCAACTTAGAGAGAGCACCTTGGCGAGGAGGGTTTTTTGAAAGAATAATTGGATGTGTTAAGCGTTGTTTGAGAAAGGTGTTAGGTAACGCAAGACTGACCTTTGACAAATTGTTCACTGTGTTGATCGAAGTAGAGGGGACTTTAAACTCTAGGCCCTTAACTTACGAGTATGATGACGCAGGCGAGGAAGTTCTTACCCCGTCGAATTTGATTTTTGGAAGAAGAATTAAAACAGTGCCAGATGAAATCGTGGAGGACGAAGAAGAAGGTGAGAGTAGATACACTAGGAGATTCAGGTATTTGAGCGTTAGATTAGCACATTTTTGGAATCGGTTGAGGAGTGAGCACTTAACTGACTTACGCGAGTTCCATCGGACCAAGGTAAGTAAAGACCCGAGGTGAGTACAGATAGGTGATGTAGTCACAGTGTAGGACGAGAGTAAGAGGCTTGGAGAGTGGAGATTAGCAGTTATTGACAGTCTTATCAAGGGAAACGATAATGTGGTAAGGGGGGCAAACATTCGAGTCATTGCAAAGGGAAAGCCCTAGCGTATGTCTAGACCTGTTCAGAAACTCTACCCCATAGAAGTGCAAAGCGAAATTCAGCCCGAAGTGCCACGGGAAAGTGTAAAAGAGGGTACAAAAAACCTTGGGCGCAACCCTAGATGCGCTGCAGCAGCAGATGCGCATTGGAAAACTAACTTAATGCTTGACTCGTAGACGAGTCAAAGGGGGGAAAGTGTTGTGAAACGTTAGAATGCTTATGATTGTATTTTCTTATTTCATTAAATTTTCAGTAGTTGATAAAGTAAGCCATTATCTCGCCACCGCTAAAACAGATGTTTAGATTGTAACAGGAAATATCGTGGGATAAGATAATTAGAATTAATCAATGTTGTATTAAATCGGGTATTACTAGCTTAACCGCACATAAGGCTTAGCACCATGATTGTCAAGTAAACCCACGCTTAATAGGAAATTAGTTGAAATTAGTGCCCACGGATCGATGTTAAACGTGAGCAAAGAACTTAGACCACATTTCATTATTGTGACCACGCCGGAATTACGCTTCTGGGTGTGGACTTCCTTAGCTAATATACGCAGCATTTTTGTAGAATTTAGTTAGATTGAAATTGATCNTCGGGTATTACTAGCTTAACCGCACATAAGGCTTAGCACCATGATTGTCAAGTAAACCCACGCTTAATAGGAAATTAGTTGAAATTAGTGCCCACGGATCGATGTTAAACGTGAGCAAAGAACTTAGACCACATTTCATTATTGTGACCACGCCGGAATTACGCTTCTGGGTGTGGACTTCCTTAGCTAATATACGCAGCATTTTTGTAGAATTTAGTTAGATTGAAATTGATCATAGAACGGAACGTGTAATGTTGATTTGTGAAGAATAAAGTCAGATTTGTACGAAAGTATACAGTCCTCGATTGTTGAACCAGTGTGTGCGGAATCTCTCTCTATCGCAAGTGGGAAATTCTGCGAAATACTTCACATGCAGACACGAACTCTCTGTGGAGCAAGGCTGCCTTATGTGGGGCCTGCCAACTGTCATACCTCCTTCTTTAAGACAAACCATCCTGACCGAATTACATGAAGGCCATCCTGGAATTGCAAGCCTGAAATCAATAGCCCGCAGTCATGTTTGGTGGCCGAAAATAGATCAGGAGATTGAAAAGGTTACCCGTGAATGTCAACCATCCACCAAATACCACCGGGCTCTTCCAGTCTCACCGCTTCTTCCATGGTCTTGGCCAACAGGTCCATTGCAATGTGTTCACGTAGATTTTGCCACCCATCAGGCAAAACATTACCTCATCATGGTCGACGCCCACTCTAAGTGGCCTGAAGTGATCGGTCCCACAAAAACAACAACAGCCGACTCAACCATTAATACCACGCGTAATATTTTTGACAGATACGGTTTACCAACCCAAGTAGTCAGCGACAATGGCCCACCCTTCCAGTCTGGAGAGTATGAAGAGTTGCTGCGGCACAATGGCATTCAGAGAATTTTAGTTTCCCCTTACCATCCCTCTTCAAATGGGTTGGCTGAGCCGTTTGCGCAGACTATCAAGTATGCAATGGAGTCATCAGTTAACGATACCGCAAGCTCTATACACCGGTGGATTTAGAATTTCCTCTTATCTTACAGAAGCACACCACATGCTACAACCAGCTCATCCCCTGACAAGCTATTCTTACAGCGAGAACTTTGCACTCAATTGTCTTTGGTTACACCTGATATTGGATTTCCCGTGGCCAGCCAGCAAGACAAAATGAAGTGCAATCACGACAAGTTTGCAAAGTTCACGGAGATAGCTGTAGGCGACCGTGTTCTCGCATGTGACCACCTATCAGGACAGAAGCGGCAAGCAGGTACTGTCATACAGCAAACATCACCTGCTTCCTGTCAAGTCCAGTTGAACGATGGAGAGAATTGGAGGAGACATTATGATAATGTACTTCAAAACACCCCTAGTTCTGCTGTGACTCATTCCAGCTCTGTCCAAGTTACATCTGATCAATCTACTGAAGGCGTTACTTCTCCCAGTATCGAAAGCTGTACACCCCCACCAGAAGAGTCAGAGTCAGTGGAGTCACCAAGCACACCTACTCCTCCCAACCCTGCTCCGCGTCGGTCCAAACATGCTACTAAACCACCACAGAGACTGATTGAAGAAATGGACTAAACCATCAAGTCTCGCCTTAATGACACTGAACAGTGCTTCTAATAGTTTTGTTTCTTTTTCTGAACTTTTGATCATTTAGAGAGTTTCAACAGTTGTCTTGTACTTTAATTTCTTGTCAGGCACAACATTTCTGCGGGGAGGTGTTATAGTGTATCATTACATTTGTTATAGTGTCAGTCATTCATACTGAGGCCACAGCATGTATGCGGTTACTGTAAAACCCATGTGCTCTTTGATTAATACAGTTCCTTAGTTGATCCGCCATCTTGCGTGCAGTTGTCTGTTTGCCCGAGAACATAACAAGTCTCCCAATAGAGTTGCAGCAAGCGCAAACCTTTCAAAGTTTTCAGGCTGGCTGTAGACGTTACTTTAAACTACGCCTTACTTTCAATACACAGCACTCTTGAGAGGCAGGTTAATTTATTTCATTTAAGAATATGTATTCTGTTGTATAAAAATTGATAGATAAATATTGTAATTTTCTTTTTTGAGCTTTTTATATATGTAATCCTGATGAGCTTTAACCGTGTTGAAATAAAGATTTAACTTACCGGAACTTCCTTACTTACTATGAGAGACACATTTCTAATATATTCTTCTATTCTTTATCACTACACTCTGCCGAATACATAGAAAATATTTTTCTAATGAGTCGTATGAAGAGACAAAACAACTCCTATTATACAACAACACTTAGGAACAATACATAAGAAAATGAAAAAAGCAGCCACGAGTAAACTGGACCCAAGTGTACTAGAGGTCCCATCTGTAAAAACATTTTGAACCCGGGCGCAATAAAGGTCCTGTCTGTAATAACACTTGGACCCAGCTCCAGTGTTATAATATATAATTTCCATCGTACGAGTTCGTCTTCTCAAAGAGCACATGGATGCGAACATTTCGACATTACGATCCCGGGATATTTGCGATTACGACAAGAAAATTTACATAAAGTCTTTAGGAGATGTCAAAGTGAAAATCTGTGGAAAATCAAAAAGATGGAAAGAGAGGAAAAATAACGAGTTTCCTTATTCCCAAGGAACGAACAGAAATCGGTAAGTTTATTTAAAGCAGGTTAAACTCTGCATACATTTCTAGGTGTCTGATTAGCTATTCAATCCCGCAATGTAAAACTTGTAGGTTTGTTCGAGATAACTTCATCCCAAGGTGGTTTCCAAGCATGGGACAACTCTTACAGGTTTAGAAGCGCAACGTTCTATAAAAACGAAGGTAGATATTCACAAGTTTACATTTTATTCCTTGTCGCAGTTAAGAGTAAACACACCACCAAGAAATGGCGGCCATGTTGAAAGTCGAGCCTAAAGTGTTCGCATTTAGTTTTGGTTTTTGTGCCTGATGAAAGAATTCAAATTAATCAAGTAAAATTAAAGAAAGAGAATTAAAAACTTCGATTTGACAGCTTGCAATTTTGAAACAAATTTTAAGGTTTTTTAAAATACAGTAAATAAAAATAAATGTCATCTGTTTTTCCCCACTCCAAATCATACCATTTTAGCTTCATCAAGTGCTCAGCAACTGTCTTGAGAATGCAACTACCTCTGAACAGCAATGCATGCAAAGTTCCTGTAGTGCTAGTGGAGAACAAAGTCCAATTTCCCTTGAAGCAAGCACACCTCCAATGCCGAATATGTTACCAACTCCAGAAGCAATTGCTCTGTTAGAAAGGTATTTTTCAGATGCCATGGAAAAGAAGCACTTACATAGCTTTTACACCTGTTGTGGAAAATGCTCAGACACATCTGAACCTGAAGCTTCGCAGATCAACGTCCTTTGTCCACAATACCGTGCGCATCCGTGGCCGAGAGCAGCCCCATCTACCCTCTCAAGGACATGAAGGTCTTGTTCACCGAAAATCGCGACAAGGCCGCCCGCATCGTCAATAGGCAGGAAGCAACCTTCATCTCCGCCCAGAACAACACGATCGTTCTCCGCCTGCCCGAGGGACAGAGGGTCTTTGTCTACCCGGTGACCCACATTGACGATGAGAGGCCGGTGACCTACTACCCATTCACGCCGGCCTATGCCCAAACCATCACAAAATCTCAAGGGCAGAACATCAAGCATCTCATCGTCTGGCTGGACAGTGACCTCGTTCCTGCTGGTACAGCATACGTTGGCTTCTCCAGGGTTCGAAAACGCGCCAACATATCGTTTCTGCAACCCATCCACTCACACCAGGTCACTCCAGTCAGGGTTTAGACCAGCATCATCTCCATCTTCCATGCTCTTGTCTGCCCTTGAGATTGCCATATTCTTCTCATTTCTCTTTATCTTCTTCTCTTATTCAACAATTGTCTCTACTTCTATACTTTTCTTCTCTTGTTTGAACACTTCTCTCTACTTCTGGTACACATCTTTCTCATGTTCATCTCCTCTTCTACTAATGTTCAGTCCACGCTCGCAATCAAAGCCTTCTATGGCACGCACAGACATTGTAGTTCTTTCCTGGGACAGCTCTTGTGTCGGATAACACGAGCGGAGGTAACCAACCCTTGGGGAGTGCCGTAAGAGAGCTCTTTTTGGAACCTGTCGCTAATGTGCATGTCGATTACCCTTTCTAGCGAGCCTTCCTTTTCGACTCTCGTAAAGTGCTACTTCGCCGTGGTGAGAGTCCCTAGTAGGCAGTGCCTCTGCCCTCTTACCGCCACTACTGCTGAAGCTAAAAGCACTTAACCCACTTCAACTCATAGACACTTGTTGGACTATAGCACATCACTCCATGACCACAGTCCTACCGACCAACCCGTCAAACACGTGCAAACACTGACCTCCACACTTGTTAACGAATGCTTGTTCATTTTCTTGCAGATATGGCACAGCAGTCCAACGTCAAGAAGCCCAACTACAACCGGCATTTCCCTCGGAGCTTCATGCTCAACTATGGCGCCGCCCTACAGGACCTGTCGGACGAGAAGATATTGTCCCGACTGAAAGATTTCAATTGTGAGTGGCTCTCCAGGCCCAATATTGCCATTTCCGAGATGGCACAAACTATCAAGGACAACTGGCCCCTGATAGAAAAACAGAGTGGAACGGTATTCACCCGCAAGTTTGTGCAGGACCTTGGAAATGTGGTGCTCCCCCTCATGGACACCTACGCGCGTCTGGACAACAAGGACAATAGCACTCACGACCCGCCCACCCATGATGACGTCCTGGACGCCCTTGAAGTCATTAACATTAATCCTGATGTGGAACAGCTCATGGTGACCGCCTTCAATGCGGTGGGCCCGTGTTGATGACGAGTCTTCAGATGCTGGCCGTCAATGCTTTGCTCCACAATGTAAGCAACTTCGCGCAGGAGGCAGTAAGGAGTCCAGCCATGGAGGAGTTTAAAGCCAATCCCACTAAAGATAGCATGATGGACTATCTGTTCAACTCCATCCTCATGAGATGCAGAACGGTCGAACGCAGGACATCACTGTATGACCGCAGCCGTCTCGCAGATTGGGACGCTCTCCCACAGCCAACCAGCCGTACAAACTCCCGCACGCGAAGGGCAGTATCATTGCCCGGCCCTGAAGAGGACGAGCCTGAACCACCCACCAGACCAAGCCGCCCTAGACTTGGTCAGCGTCCGCCTTCCGCTACGCGGTCTTGGCTGGATGGTGGCCAACGCCGAACCCTCCCCGTCCAGGAGCAGGCGGAAGTGGACGATGATGAGGACGACGAGCCCGCCCCAAGTTTATATCGAAGAAGAACTTCGATGCCCAGATCGTCCTTTACCAGCAGGGGCTTGCAGTGGCAACCATCGACCTTGAGCCGGCGGGATTCTGCTGTTGACCTGGACGACCACCAGCAGACGGAGGACAAGGTAGAAGACGTGGTGAGACCTCCAAGGAAGAGAGCAAAACGGGGGCCGACTGCCACAGTCACTACAGTGGAGGCAGTGGTCTCACGGGCTGCAGAGGAAGACATGACCGGCACACGCCACAAGAAGAAACACAAGAAACGCCACCGTCAGGAACGACTGGAAGAGGAGGCAGAAGAAGTGGTGCAGGCAAGCCCACCGAAAAAACCAAAAAAGAAAAAAAACAAAGAGAAAGAGAAGTACACGGGGGCCTGCCTCGCTGATTTGGCGAAAGACCAGGACCGACTGTCTAAGAAGTTGAAGAAGAGCAAAGTGGCACATTCTTGAGCATTAAGTTTTCTGCACATTGAATGAACATTTCTAGAAGTTAAACATTTTTGAATGATTTTGCAAGACTATCAGATAGGGAAGCAACCCGTTTGACGTTTCAGTTGGGCACTTGGCCTCCATTGTTGTACTAGGGCAGACCCAATAAAAGTTACGTGTGTTTGACAGGGCCAGAATTAAAAGCCAGAAAAAAAACAACAGAAGGGAAAAGGAAGGAAGTTGATATCTTCAAACACTCATGGCTCACTGACAGAAAAACTTTATTCTGTGACAAAACAGGTAAATATAAATGAAACATACTCTATGTTATTATGTTTTGTCAATATTTAAACATTTTATGATGAAAATGTTTACTATAATAAGTTCAGTTTTGCTTTTTACAATGACCACAATGCCTCTTTTTGGTTTCAATTTTAGGCATGTGGTGGTTGGTATACTGTGCATGGGAAGGGATGTTCTGCCTTCTGTCCCGTGTTCATAACACCAAAAACAAGTACAACAAACAGAACACTTTCAACTCAGCACCATCCACCATCTACAAGCACAGCGCTGTTAGTGACCATGAAAGAGGCAGTGGACATACATCAACAGTAATCTGTGAGTTGGAGAGAAGGAATTCTTCCTTGGCTAACAAGTACAAAGTGCCTGGAGCTGGAGTACCAAAAATGCTGTTCAGCATTTGTAAAGGTCTGTGTGTCACTTCAGAAAATAAAGCTGGCTACTGCTAGTGACGACCACATAAAACAGAAAAAGCTGTTCAAGTCTCTGGCAGTGAAGATACAGAAAGCTTGCAGGACAAGGTGGCTTTCAACTGGCCAAAGTGTTTCAAGCGTCTGCCAAAACCTTCTTGCCCTGATGCAGACATTGAGGCAGTTTAAGGAAGCTGATGCTACAGCTCAAGGTCTTCTCTAGAGAATGACTAACACCAAGTTTGTTGGCATGATGCTTCTACTGAATGCAGTTCTACCTCATCTCAACACCCTTAGCAAGGTGTTCCAAAAAGATCACACATGCTACACCTTCATCAGACCTGCACTTGAGAGCACCAAATCCAGAATTTCTGAAATCCAGTCCTCCTTTGACCTTGTTTTTGAGTTGCAAACAGCCATTCAGCCTAGTGGGGACTATGCTTCTTTGGAACTGGAGCTTAAAGATGATGGCCAGGTAGAAGCATTCTTGAAAAATCTTGTAGTTAACTACATGACTGCCCTCGAGAGGAACCTAGATATAAGATTGCAAGAGGCAGCACCCGTTCTTGAGGCATTTTCCATCTTCGATTCAAGCTGCCTTCCAAAGCCAGAAGACCCAGCCTTCAAGAAGTATGCTTTGGATGAAGTAAAAATGCTGTGCAAGCAGTTCCAGTTTGACAAAGATCACACACTTGCACAGTGGTACAACTTCAAGTACCTGATGTCATCATGGAAGGTACCCTCTGCTGTTCTCCGGGGAAAAGATGACCATTCTCCAACTGAGTTCATTCTAAGAAAAGTTGTTTAAGAGCAGGTGGCTCACAGAATCAACTTCCTACAAATTGTGGATGCTGCTCAGACTTGCCTCACCCAGCCCATGTCTAATGAAGTTGTGGAACGGGGTGCAAGTGCAGTGAAGAGGGTAAAGACAAGGTTGAGAAGTCGACTCGAGAATGACATGATGGCCAGCCTGCTTCACATTTCCGTCAATGGCCCTAATCAACTGTGACTTCTCACGTCCCTCTACGAATGTCTTCGTTGGTTTCAGACCTCTTTTTGCGTGAAGTCTTTAGACGGTAGTGAATTCTTCGAGGGTTACCAACCTCCTAGTCTGGTAGATGGCAGTCTTCACCATCCAGCCACAAAGACTGACATTGGTATACAGGTGGAAATTCCAGATGACCTTCAGGCATCTAGAACTGAAGTCCAAGAAGATGGTGAAGTAACTGTGGAAACTGAACTTGATGCTCAAGTTCAGGTTGTAGCTCAAGCAGTTACCAGCAATGCTGATTTGAGTCATGACGCACTGGATGCCATGGATATGGGAGATGTTGAATCTGGTATTGATTCAGACTTTGAGTTGAGTTTGATATGGACGATGATTACTTATCTCAAAAACTTGATCAACAAAACTTATGTATATTGAGTCTACGGAGCTGGAATCATGGGTTTCACTTTTAATTCACTGAGAGAAGTAAAAGGATTTAAATGTTAAAAAAATAATAAGTAATGATTGTATTAGTATTGGGAGACAAATAAATATCTTGTTATCACTGTAATTGTTATAGACTCCAAAATATGCACAAATACTGACAGAAAAATTACACATTTTTTCCTGCCGCAGTGTGCCCAAAATGCCTCAAATTGCATCTCTGGACCCCTTTTTGTTAACAATTTTCCGGGGAGGGGGGCATGCCCCCGGACCCCCCTAGGGGCTCATGCCCTCCAGGCACTCAAAATACACCAGCTGCCTACTTTAAAAACTTGGCTGACTACTTCCAAATCTATGGAGAACACTGTATTAGCCTCAGTTCTTTTTTTAAACTAGTTTATCAGAGTAACTTTTCTAGAGTTCCCAACTTTTCAGATGCAATAAAGTGATGGATAGCCTGTGAAGCCTGGAACTACATTTCCATTATCATATTAGTCTCTGAATCAATGTTAACACAAGAGGGAAAGATATTTTAGAAAACATCAGCACAGGTCTGCCTGCATTACCTTTGAAATGTCAACAACAATTAACTTAAACTATGATTTTAACAGCTGTTGCATGGCTACAACCCCACTCTATTTTAGGCTCTATCAGTACAGTGTTTGTCTTAAAACGTTACATATGTAATTTCCATGTAGTTTGTTCAGGTTGCAGAATTGAGTGTGTCTTCTTGGTATATTTTTGCTGATGCAATTTATATATCCTGCATTTTGCAGCATGTTTGTTTGCAGTCCTTTGCAGTTTATATAATAATATCATTTGTAAAATGTTATAATCAAACTAAAGTGCTTTGAATATTTTACAGTTGAGGTGGTTTTTAAGGTATGCAAAGCTTGTATGAGTGTAGTCTGTAACTGCTAAATGTAAAATACCTATATACCAATTTCACAGGGTTGAGATTGATAGAGCTAACAGTGCAAGGTACAATGTGCACATGTAGGCAAAATAGTCCAATTGTCAGCCACTCGGGAAAAAAATACATTTTTATGCAGTTAAATGCAATTTTCATACCATTAAAAGGACAAGCATCATTTTCCACTTTATCCTCTTGCTTGTTAGTGAAGTACGTTCAAGTTATTTTCATTTCATATTATTAATATTTTGACCTGTCAGAAGAGAGAGGTGACTGAGTTAATTCCCTGAATGGTCAGCACGACCGGCAACAGTATTAAATTTATTTTGAGCCCTGATAACTAGACAATCCCCATACAAAACATACCCCAACCAAAAAAGCAGATCCCACCAAGATTGGTCATGCCACCTCAGTGCTCGAACTTAACGGTCGTCCACTCATCCAAAACGCGTAAAAAATTACAAAAACGAGTAGTTTTCTTCCCCACTAGTCCCTTGGACAAGTAAAGTTATCACTCTCTGAGAAATACATGTTGTTATTATTTTTTTGGTATTGTACCAAAAAGTAATAAAAGCCTTGAAACAAATCAAGAATTGCCAAAGGCAAACAAAAAACAAAAAGGTAAAACGCGCTAGGCATTCTCTTGCCAAATAAAGTCTGGCTCTCCTTGAAATAAACTGCACTGTGGGATAAAGATGGCAGCTTTTGTTTCGGAGGTCTGTATCTAGTTTTCCTTGGAGAATTAAAACGTGAACCAAAGTATGTTAAAATGGAAACAAGCGCAAAGCTCACTGTACTCTTTCTTTGGAGGAAAGTAATCATCAGATGGTAAAGAAATTAACACAGCATCTGAACACCTGCTTCAACCAAAAAACAAGCAAGTACCAGGAGGCATGGATTGCAACAAATCATTTCCAAACAGACAGCCTGAAAGCACATAAGGCCAGCGAAGTGCATACTGTGAGACACTTGTTTTGGCAGCCATGTACGGGTAAATAAATACCATGGTTGTGTTTTTTGATTGCAGTTTCATGTATTAACTTGCAGACACAAATAGCCTTCATCCAAAAAAAATTGGAAAATGATAAGAGTGATCAGTAGTTTTACTGATGGACCAGCAAATTTTAATCCTACTAGTCCTGCGGAAGTCCAGGCCCAAAAGTTAATTTCAAGCATTGCCATCTGGGGTTGTCACCCTCAGTCAGGATTCAGCAATGTACACAAGGCATGCATTGTTCAGTTCAACCACTCCAAAGAGCCAACATCAGCGAGTTTAATGTTTGGGACCTGTGATGGTGTTTTAGTAAACCTATGGAAGTTTGTGGGTTTCCGTCAAGACTGACAAAAGGGTATTGCAGGGTGGATGAAGGCAAGAGCGAGTTTTTACAAGTAGCTTAGGATCCTCCTCTCCAAGAACAACATCCCTTGCAACTGTGATTCCCAGCTCACCAATTACTGTAAATTCCACACATCTGATCTGATGCCGGTTATATAATAAAATTATCGTTGTTGTGGAGCCACTGGGACCCAGTAAGAAACCAGTCCAACAAGGCGGCCTTTATAATTTGGGCCTCCGGCAACCAAATACCGCAAAAAGACAAGGCCTACATGTACACTGTAGAACACGATCAATAATGTACATGTAGAATGCAGGGAAGATACAAGGCATGATAAACAGATAATTACAGCTGTAGTACAAATTGTCTTAACAAAGAGCAAAAACAGGCAAGGCCAAGAATGGGATCAGTAATGTACATGTAGTGTACTAGAAAAACTCAAGGCATGATAAACAGATAACAGTTATTCTTCCACATTGTGCCGACACAAAACAACAATAGATTACAAAAGTGAGGTAACCAGAGGACAAGAACAAAGCCTAACTGGCAGCCATAAGCACCAATGGCTGATGAAAATTTTTTTGGCCTCCGGGTCCATGTCAAAGGATGAAAAAAAACAAGGAAATATTTACTGTCAATAAAAATTATTAAAGATTTTAATTTTGTAAGTTGGCATGACTCATATTTACTTGGAACTCCTAGCCTGTGTTCAATTTGTTGTTCATTTAAAACATTTCTTCTAAAGCCCCATGACCATTTGCCATGGTCATAAAAAATGTGCCGAGTCATGTAAACAAAGCCAGTTTACGTCCAAATTTATAGCGACTTCTGTCCGCGATAATTTCAAACAATCAAATCACAGTAGATTACATTTAAGCCTGGAAAACAAATCAGGCCAAATTTTTCGCGTTTGGCAACTTTATTTTACAAAATCTTGCCAACAAACCTGGGTGCCTGTAAACCAACCTTTTATACTTTTTATACATCATATCTGAGGTGAAAGAGTACGATGAGGTGCAGACCTCAGACAAAATGCAGTATTTCACAATTTCTCAAGACAAACTGCGTTCATTCAGTGTTCAGGACCATCGAAGCACGCGTGGGCTTTTAGCGAAACCAGTCAAAAAATTTCCAAAATCACCTATACGGCCAGCCTGTTCTCACTTCTGACAAGCACCAAATTTGCAGTGAACATCAAAAGAGTTACACTTCAACAAAATAAAGAATTCTGACGTTAAAACGATGTGTAATCTTCAAAAGCATCTGATATGAGAGGCATTTTGAGTTCTCCTGCAAGTGATGTTCGTGAACGACTGAAAACAAATGGCAAAGCGATTAAAATTGTAGGAGACTACTAACAATATAATTAAGAAAAGAAATATACTTTGGTTAAACATTTACAGAGACAGCAATTTTCATTCATGAAAACAAGTATTAAGTGTCTCTAAGAATCCTGAGTCTTTAAGCTTAAAGCTTAAGTTTATGTTTAAAGCCGGCTTCCCGGTGTTTGTTTATTTCAAAGATAAACTCGAGGCAAGATAATTGCTTAAAGCTTTCTTTCTACAGCCAAAATTATAACTGAATATTCTTTGGAACGTTTTTCCTTTCTATTTGCGGTGAAAAAATATCAACTAAAGGCTTTTTGAAGTTCCGTAAGCTTATATCAAACCTCATACTACATGTAGGTCAGATCAGTCTCTCAAATCTTAATACAGATGTGCATAAACTAGCCTCATAAACTGCACTCGACTTCATGAAATTAGAAAAAACAAACACAAATACAATAATTACTCAGGCTTACCATTCGAGATGTAGCTCCTCAAAGCTATCAAGTACAGGGGCATAGCTAGGGGGGTCCTAGGGTGCCCATGACCCCCCCTTGGTAGGCCTTCTTTTGAGCAAACAACCTACAATATTCAGGTGGCAAAAACGCCATGACAATAGCTCGGCCGTCAAAGCCATTGTTGAAAAGCCCACTTTTTTAAAATTTGTTTTTTTGTAAAGTATTTTCATCAACGGCTCTTGTCTTTAGTTAATATGGGCCTTCATGCCGCGATAATACGACTGAGCCCGCTTACACATGAGGGAGAACAGTGGCATAAACCATACACATAAAACATGTACAG